GAATAGATCATGGATGAGGGCCCATTATACATACAAAGACAAATATACGATCAGCTGATTAGAAAAGTTACAGAGGATGCATAAATAATGATATCTTACATCCTAATTTCTTTGTTGGGCCATTTTTGGGGAGACTAGCTGTATTAACGCGTACTCATCTGCGCGCAATGTATTGTCAAATTTCTAAGAAATGTAAATTCCGTACTTTGATTTGATACATGCGTCTTCTGGCAATTGAATTCGATTTTATACTTGCGTCTTCTGGCAATTGAATTTGATTCAATACACGTGGCATATTAAGTCAAACTTCACAAAGGTGGAATGGATACAGAGCGAGAGGGGTGGGTGAAATCTCCTCCTAGGAGGATACATGTACGTCAAGCAAAAAGATTGGCAGATGGGTACGAGGGCTTTGAATGTGAGCTACGAATATAAATATAATTTATACACAACCCCTGTACGAAACAAATCTATTCCGTCATAAATAACTAAGAAAATGAAAGTTCATGACATTTTCTCTAAATAGCAATTTGAAGAGGAGCTCGCATTATACGTCACAGTGTTACAAATTCCCTGGGTGTGATTGTCCTCGGGCCGCCGGTAATGGTGTTTCGAGGGAAGGGGGGGGGGGGTAATTGTCCTCGGGGGGTAGTTGTCCTCGGGTGGTAATTGTCCTCGGGGGTAGTTGTCCTCGGGGGTAATTGTCCTCGGGGGGTAATTGTCCTCGGGGGTAGTTGTCCTCGGGGGGGTAATTCTCCGGGGGGTAATTGTCCTCGGGGGGTAATTGTCCTCGGGGGTAGTTGTCCTCGGGGGGTAATTCTCCGGGGGGTAATTTTCCGGGGGGTAATTGTCCTTGGGGGGTAATTGTCCTCGGGGGGTAATTCTCCGGGGGGTAATTTTCCGGGGGGTAATTGTCCTTGGGGGGTAATTGTCCTCGGGGGGTAATTCTCCGGGGGGTAAATTTCCAGGGGGTAATTGTCCTTGGGGGGTAGTTTTCCGGGGGGTAATTTTCCGGGGGGTGATTGCCCAGGGGGTAATTGTCCTGATACGGTTTTTTTAATGTATTTATCATTACACTCTTCTTCCTGATTCCATTCCCGAATTGTTTATACTAATATTCATAGTTATAATACTAGAAATGCTCAAAATTTTCATTTACCATTGACTTGTACAGTAAGAAACCAAACCATAATATTTTTTTTCCAAGGACCGTTTCTGTGCAATACTTTTCCTCATTACATACTTAATTCTGCTCGTGTAAATGTATTCAAATGTAGTTATAGGAAATTTCTTTTGGGTAAATTGCAATGATCATTTGAATTCAAGACATATTTTATTTGTTTGTTTGTATGTATGTTTGTTGTCTTGATTTGTGTATTGTATAATGTTTAGTAACGAATATATTTCATATTTTTAATTATCAAAAAAGGGTCAACCTTTTAGTTAAGAATTATGTTTCCTATATGTTATCAATATAAAGAAAACCATAAATTAGCATATAGTGAGGCAATGACGTCACACAGACTCATGAGTAATTTGCCAATTTGTCTTTTGATTTTCAGAGTTTTCCATGTCATTAAATGTTCATAACTTTCTTATTAGTTATCTGATTTTGCTCAAACTTTTTTTGATTGGTTTGTATGATTTCTCTGCTTCTATTGAAATTTAGTTAGTTTAAGGTGGGATACGGTTGCGCGTATATCTGTGTCCGGCGCCACACTGCTCTTAATTAAGACCACCACAAGAAGCCTGTGCGATGTTCGTTAATTGCCGATTTTTGGATGGAGTACTATCGCTCCACGTGCCACGTGCGTCAAAACAAAGACACAGGAATTTTCTTCCAAATGAACCAAACGCAGATAACTGCACTTTCCGTTGTGGCCATGTCTCTACTGACAATGATTCTGATTATTTTGCGTTTTCTGATTCCCATTTGTATGGGAAGTATCCACGTCTTCGATTTTCCTTGTGTTGCATGCACAGACACGCTTAAGCACACAGGCGCGGATCCAGGATTTCTTAAGGGGGGGGGGGGGCCCAAATTTGAAATTATGCGAGCCAAATATCGGTAATGGTGACCAGCATTGACGTAGTGGGGGGGGGGGGGTGCAGGGAGGGGCGATTTCCCCCTCCCTCCTCCGCAAAGCGCGGAAGCTGTTACGTTTCATTAAATCATTAGAGAAAGAAGACGATTCGTTGTACCGTTCGCGACTCTTAGTCCTTGTCTAAATGCAGTCCCCCACTTCCTGCGCGAAGCGCGGAAGCTTTGACATTTCATTTAATTATTAGAAAAACAAGACGATTCGTTGTACCGTTCCAGAAAATAATCCTCGTCTAAATTCAGTTCCCCCCCCCCCCGCGAGGCGCGGAAGCTTTTACGTTTCATTGAGTCATTATAGAAAGAAGGCGTTTTGTTGTACCGTTCTCGACTCTTAATCCTCGTCTGAATTCAGTCCCCCCCCCCCCCACCTGCGCGAAGTGCGGAAGCTTTTGCGTTTCATTAAATCATTAGAGAGAGAAGACGATTCGTATTACCATTCTCGACTCTTAATTCTTCTCTGAATTCGGTCCCCCCCCCCCCTCCTGCACGGAAGCTTTTACGTTTCATTAAATCATTGGAGAAAAAAGACGGTTCGTTGTCCCGTTCTCGACTCTTAATCCTTGTCTGAATTTCAAAAAAAAAATTGTCTGCTCCTACGTCCTTTTTTTTTTCTTCTCTCCTCTCCTTTTTGGCCGGTGTTTTTTTTTTTTTGGGGGGGGGAGGGGGGGGGGGGCCACCACCCCCATGGCTACGCGTTTGCGGTCAGATGAACATATTTTGATACCTTGTCCGCTCCCGGAAACTCAGGGGATTAGGGCAATAAATAACGGTCAGATAAGCATTCAGGGGCCCGCGTTAGGGGCCCTGATGGGGTCGAGGGTGCGGAAACCCCGGAATCTCAGGGGTTTTATGCATTTGATTACGGTCAGATGAACATAATTTTTATACCTTATTTGTGACACAGGCAGGACACTGATTGGCGTGAGGTCCAGTGGGCGGAGCCCCCATAAGCTCAGGGGTTTTAGGCATTAAATTTATTACCGTCATATTGGAATCCAGGGGTCCGCCTTAGGGCCTTGGTGGGGTCGAGGGTGCGGAAACCCCGGAATCTCAGGAGTTTTAGGCATTTGGTTACGGTCAGATGAACATATTTTTATACCTTATTTGTGACACTGGCAAGACACTGATTGGCGTGAGGTCCAGCGGGCGGAGCCCCCAGAAGCTCAGGGGTTTTAGGCATTAAATTACCGTCATATTAGAATCCAGGAGTCCGCCTTATTGCCCTGCTGGGGTCGAGGGTGCGGAAACCCCGGAATCTCAGGGGTTTTAGGCATTTGATTACGGTCAGATGAACATATTTTGATACCTTATTTGTGACACTAGCAGGACACTGATTGGCGTTGGGTCCAGCGGGCGGAGCCCCCCGAAGCTTAAGGGTTTTAGGAGTTTAATTAATAATAATAATAGCTCGTTCTTATATAGCGCTTTTCAGGACCGGAGGCCCTCACAAAGCGCTTTACAGATAAGTATATTACTACCGCGGTCATTGGATTCAGGCTTACCCGCACACAATGTATGCACATTCTCCACTCCCTGGGGAGCATTCCAGCCAGGCGTCATTTTTACATGCGCACACTTGCTAATCTAACCACATTAGCTTTCGCATCCTACCGGGTACCCATTTAACACCTGGGTGGAGAGTGGCAAATGTAGATCAATGTCTTGCCAAAGGACATTAGTGCTGCGGCGGGACTTGAACCAAGGACCTTGTGATTACGGTCAGATGAGGATTTTTGTATACCTTATTTTGTGGTGACACTGGCAGTTAACTATTCTTTCTTTCTTGCTCTATTTCTTTCTATTTCTCTTTAATATACTTTGTCAAAAAAGTGTGTGTGTGGGGGGGGGGGGGGGGGGGGGGAGCTAGAAGCTCCCCGTCCCCGCCGTCCCGCGGGCCCTGACATGTAGGCATCTCAAGAAGCATATTTCTTGCCTGGCTATTTGTCATTTTACAACAAACGCATACAAATGTATAATTTACTAAAAAATGAGGACAAATCTCGGAAAATTATGTCATTTCAGCATTATGTGTAAACCACAGTAACGGTTTTGGAATCAGAAAGAAACCCCCTCCCCGATCAGTACGCCAGTGCCCCGCCCCCCCTCCCCCCGATCTACACTTTGTTGGCGGAAAAATCGCAACTGATCTCCTCTACCTTTCTTCTTTCTTTTTTTTTTTTCTTTCCCTTTCTCTCCACATTTTTTGTTTTGGTCCCGGAAATTGGAAAAATTACTTCGTCAGATATTTCGTTCAGTGGCTTGGGGGGGGGGGGGGGGGGGGGGGGGGGGGGGAAGGAACACATTTTTTCCAAAAAAAAAAAAATCTTTCCCCCTTTTTTTTCTTTCTTTTTTCCCCCTTTTTTTTTGTTCTCCTTTCCCCCCCCCCTTCCTCCCCTTTTTTCCCCCAGGCGGGGGGGGGGGGGGGCTGGATCCGCCACTGCACGCACAACCACAACACGCGCACAACGCGGGCACATAATACATACCACTCTCCAGTATACAATATCTTCCTTTGTAACTCGGTCTTACTCTGTCTTTGTCTGAAATAATGCATTTGAAAATATTCAGCGTCTGCCATATAGTTTTTTGGATGGCTACCCCGGACTTACATCCGGCCCCAGAAACATCTAAAACAACCATAACCGGTGGTATATTTGTCTGGAGGCGATTACATAATTTAGAGCTGTGCAAATTTGCATTATAAAGCACCATCATTAAATTGACTTCAAAAGATGAGATATTATGTAATTTAAAATGAATACATATTCCATACATGGCATGTTAAGATAAATCCGTACAAAGATTTGGCACTATTTTCTTCTACAAAGTCATGTTGCCCGTCTCATGAACTAACTCTGCATTAATCTTTTTTTCCCTCTTGAATAACACAGTACCCTGATGTCACCATGCCTGTGTCTCTTGGTGAATGGCGTGTCAGGATTGGCACGTTCATGCACCGTCGGAGGAAAGAATACGACTACCACTACTTTTGGAGGAAACTCCACAACTTAATTAAAAAACACAAGAATGCTGAGCCACCTAAAGAAAACAACAATCCTGAGTGTAACATCTCATCTCGCACTGGCTCTTCTCCCGGTGCGAATAGATCTCCAAGCAACACCGCCCGTCAGTCTGCATTTTCTGCTCAAACAGGGCATTCACGTGACGTCAACAATGGCAAAGGTAACGCAAGCTCACCGACTCTCTCACATTCTGACGTTCCAGAGTGTGATACTGTCAAGGAGAGTGGATCCACATGCGATGTAAATAATCCCGGTCATAACGATGTCTCTCACTCTGAGTCTTCATGTGCTCAAAACAGTGGTTCTTCAATTGAAAAAGAGACCAACCCTGTCCCTGATTCCACTGACGTGACAATTCTAGTTCCCAAACCCTGTGGAGAAGACGAATCGGACAATAATGACATAGCCATTAATCTCATGTCACATGAATACACCCCGAAATCCGCCCAAATAGGAAAAACTGACAAACCTGAAGTTGGCACATCAGAGTCGCACTCACATGTACCTGCATGCGTTCATGGTGAGACAGATCGTATCAATCGAGACAAGGAGGAAACTGACTCTGCGCCGTCTGGGATAGAGGACCAATCATCGGACCTATCACCTAAACACAGGCTAAATACAACGAGAAATACCGACCAAAAAACATCATCTATCAGGGTATGATTGATATGCATTTCCTAGAACCTCACTACTCACATAAAAACAAAGAAAGAAAACAAAAACAGTGAGAAAAACATGCGAACTTTTAATCGAAATAAAAACTGTATAAAACAATTCTTTTTGTAAACGGGGTTTTAACCAGAACATGTAACTAGGAAAATTGGAGCTAAAAAAGATGTATTATAAAGGACAGCTTATTTGATTTTGCTGTGAAAAGTGTAATTTTGAAGTTTGTGGCAACCGTAAATAGTGGTTAAATTTCCCTTAACCCTTTCACAGAATTCTTATAATCCCGTGATTCTCCTTTTTTTCCTTCAAATAATGTCTTTTGTCCATAAGTAACGGAATATCATGAATTGTCCGCCCACCTTGTCCAATGGCTACATGAACACCCTTCTATCATCTGCCTGCGCTAATCATTGTCCTATTATGGATTTAAGAATAAACTAGAAACCATTGATAAAGCATTCCCGCCAGAAATACATTGTGGCACAATAATGTTATCTCAGTATGACATGTAGATAGTTTTCAGAGTTAAAATTGTGTCATCTATTCGTTATTTTCTCTTCATTCTTAGATAGTAACGGAGTATCATGGATCCCCGATCTATCCGATCCTCGGATCAGGGACAAGCAGCGGTGAAGCAGATGAAACTAAAGGGAATGACTGTCCAGACATGACCAACATACTTCTAATGAGATCCGGGGATGTAGAACAAAACCCTGGCCCGAATGATAAGTAAGCACAATGAAAGAGCGACTTTGGTCCTTATTCTGTTAATCGGCCCGACCCTTGATAGGAGATCACGTTTAAAGATAAACTTCATTAAACTTCAGACTAATTTCCATTCTAAACCCGATTATAAACTAAAGCTTTAACCCACCGTGAGGTCTGAATTTCGGCAGAATACGGGCTAAAGAGTTTGTTGGTAAAAAATAATGATTGGAATAAACCAAGTTTCGCGTATTGCCATTATGTTAACAGGTCCATATTTTGCAATTTTTTTTGGAGTGCTTGCATTCCAGCAAATGTTGGAAAATAGTAATATTTTATTGCAATCCAAACAAGGGTATTCACTCGAGATGATAATCAAAGGAAAGACCTTTGATTATAAAACCTCACAAATATAATGTAAGCTGTATATGATTTTTCTTCTTTCTTTTGTCTAATGATTTAGACCTGGGAACCTGACCGACCTCGAACTATATCTCCTTGCTGACAGTATGGATCCATTAGATTTCAGGAAGGTCGGACTAGCTTTGGGATTTACTGAGGCTGAACTAAGACGGTTTGAGAAAGATCAGATGGGCAACACTCTGTATGCTACCTATAAGATGCTTTACGAATGGCGGAAGAGAGTACGTGAAAGCGAGGCGAGGGAGACGTTGGTGGTCACGTTACAACGCATTAAGCTGGTGCAGCTTGCTGATAGCGTACAGAAAGGTACAGTATTACACATACAGTGTGTCCGCACACAAACATAATTATCCCGAAACTCAATAAAGAAACGTCGTATAAAGAATCATCGTATAGCGAACCGGGCGTCCACACATACAAGAACAAGTGTCCGAAACTCTATACAGCGAAACGTCGTATATGTGCAGTCATGAAACGGAAGCAGAAATTTGAGGTCATGTCTCCTTTTGAGTGCGGTCACGTTAAGCCCAGCCCATGATTCTTCTAGTTTGGTACTGCGGTCATGAAACGGAAGCGGAAATGAGAGGTCATGTCTACTTTCGAGTGCGGTCTCGTTAAGCCCCGCCTAGTTATACCGTTCTAGTTCGACCATACGTCCACACGCAAAACATTCCGTGATTCTTTATAGAGTTCTAGTTCTAAACGATGCCCAGACCCACATTTCGTAATACGACGTTTAGTTATACGACGTTTCTTTATACGACGTATCGTTAGTAAGCGTACACACACACAGTTTCATCGTATGGCTATCCCGAAACGGGATAACTATACCGTTTAGGGATAGCTTAACGATGAAATGAGTGTGTGTGGACACGGGGAATATACATGCGTACACAGGCAACGTGATGAATGGTATGCCTAACAAACCAGGAGCGTACCTTTTAAAGAAGACAATCGTTATAACTTGTTTAGTAATTAAACATACAAGATCATGCACATTTTTATGACACTTTGCGCTGGATAAGATTGCTCCAAACCTCATTTTTGACCAAAGGGATTAAAGTTCTACCATTGACTTAAGTAATCCTTTCCTGGAGGACTGATTTCAAGGTACAACGTCAATAAATTACACAATGTGAGAGCCCCTAGGAGAAAATGGTTGCCCCTGATCCGCACGAAAATATAAATAGATATTTAGGAAGTTATTTATTCTGATGATACGATACTGGGCTACATAATTTCCCCCAGTTGTTGTCGTTGCTGCTGCTGCTGCTGCTAGTACTGCTGTTGTGTGATATTAAACCACTGGTCATATTTGTTTAGTCATTCTAAAGACAACGTTCTTCACCATTCTCATCACAGGTCAGGTTGGTGATCACATACCGTCCATGACAGAGGAGGAAATCCAACAGGTTGCTAAAGAGGTCAAACACTATTTGTTAATTCATCTATGTCAGATTCAAGCCGATCCACTGAACAGCGAACTTGTACTTGAATTTAAACGTATCTTCACCAATCTAACGTTGATGGAAGAAGACAAAGGTACAAAACGCAAAACACCGCTTCTCTACGACAACCTCCTTAGGACCAAAGTCAACGGAAGCTTTCCCAAACGCTTGCTGGTAGAAGGTGAAGGTGGTGTAGGAAAGACCACTTTTTGCGCCAAGATCGCTTGGGATTGGATCCACAGAAAAGGCTACCAAGATTTCAAACTGGTTCTTGTCATCCTCCTTCGCAAGACAGAGGGCAAGACTGTTGGAGAGATAGTGAAGTCGTATCTTTCTGACAACAATCCCGTCACAGCCAAACAGCTAGACAAGCACATCCTCTCAAATCCGGATGACGTCTTTCTTGTCCTGGACGGCCTAGATGAGTTAGCTGTCGATCTTGACAGCAATCAGCAAATCGCCCTGATCACTCTCAATCGTCTGTTCAAGTCAGGTACAGTACTAATCACATCGAGACAATGGAGATCAGATGAGATTAGGAAGAATGCCGATCTCAGAAAGGTGTTTGCTTTCATTGCTGTAGAAGGGTATTCTGCTGAAAACCTCTCTTCTTACATCACCAAGTTCTTTCATCCAGACACAGCTTCCTCTGAAGATCTGAACCGATTCATATCAAACAACGATGTGATCAGAGAGAACATGGCTCCATACCCCATATACACAGCCATGCTGTGTATCATGTGGAAAGAGTTTGATGGAGAGCGCCGAGAGGCAATGTCCAAGCTGCAAACATTTTCCCAGCTCTTCAATCAGATGATTGAATTTTTGGTTGATCATCACCTATCAAAGCACATTCCATCTTCAGGTATTGTTGAAGGCAAATTAGGGGAACATTGTTTAGATATTCGTCCACACATGATTCACATTGGCCGCATTGCCTTCCAGGGACTTCTCGAGAGACGGTTAGTATTCACAGAAGAAGAGTTTCAGAGCTATCCAGAGTCCATCGATGTAGGTTGTAAAGTTGGTGTACTCACCAGAGAGAAGAAAATTCTTCCGAGGCGAGCCAGAAGAAATAATCCGAAATCAGTAGTCCAATCGGTGCAGTTTCCCCATAAGCTCTTCCAGGAGTATCTATCAGGAATGTATCTTGCATCCCTTTACAAGTCAAACCGTAATGAGTATGACAGGTTGATAGCGAATATCATAACAAAAGCAGGGGAATACCGGTACCTACTGTACTTCACTTCGGCTCAGCAGAATGAGGTCGGCTTGGATATCGTATCTCGTCTCATAGAGTCAAAAACAGATCTAGAGCGCACACAGGGCCGTATTGCTGATGACTTCATCGTAGATGTAGCATACGAGAGCCAATACCAAGAAGTGGCCAAAGCCGTGGCGGATCATCTATCGACGTCCAGAAAGACACTGAAGATCACCACAAGGATGCAGGCACACACAGTATCAGGGCATACTTTCATCATGAACCATCGTGAGGTGGTAAGGAAAGTAACATCGAATTCTAGCAACGTATACATTTTTTATCTTTGTTTGATCTCTTTGAGTGAAAGAATTGATTTAAATTTCATTCTCTCAGACTTTAATAGAATGACCTCGCTTGGTTTGAACACATGACTGTATACACATACTGTGTATACGAACGATGCTTTGAACCCCGACATGCGCTAATAAGGCAATGCATTCTGTACAAACTCTCGTCACCCAAATTCACCCAAAAGCTTGATAGAATACATTTTTAGGTGATACGTAACGAAGTCTACGTATCACCTTTTGATTTCGTCAAGATTTTTATTATTTATTTATTTATTATTATTTATTATTATTCTTCCTCGATTTTGTTCGCAGGATATCTCAAGACTGAATAAAGCCATTGCCATGAAACTTTCAATGATGATAGATCTTAGTCTAACTTAGAACTGCGTGACTTTTCAAAGACTCAAAATTATCGTGACGTCATCTAGACGCCATTTTGTTAAAATCAACTTATGATCATATCTTCATAACGGAAAGCCATTTCTCATTCATATTTGTCATGATCAAAGTCAATATCCGCCCGGTCAATTTGAGGACAATATATGTGCGTAAAAATGCGCGTACGCGTAGGTGCGCGCGTTTACGCGCGCTTAAAAATTTAAAATGCTCTAAATCATCCCAAATTTTTTTTGCATACGTTTAAGGCCATATAGAGCATTTGACAAAAAATCTCGCTCACGCGCATGCGCGCGCGTTTTTTGCGCGTACTAGCATTTTGCAACATAGAATCGCCGTATTTTCTCCGTCATCGTATTTTGTACATTTTTCCAAGCATTTTGATAATTTGTTCACCTTTTAATAACGCAATGAGCGTCCGTCAAAGTTGACAGCACGCGCGGATTTGCGTGATCTTTATCCACAATACATGGGCAAAAAAATGCCTATACAAAATTCATTGTAACTCTTCAGAATAGATAGAAACTCCCAATATTCTTTCATATGTGGATAGATTATGAAATGGAAATATGATTTCATGTCTCATTTGACTCTCAATTAACTCATAATGTCATCATAATGGCCTCCGAACTCGAAATTTAAATTTGCATATTATGACGGATGCATATTTTTGGAAAATTGATTGTATCTCTGTAAATATTGCTTTTTTTTCTTTCAAATTTTGATATGTTCTAGCTGAGACAATTTTCTACAAATGCAGTGTACATAATTGTCCAGTTTGACAAAGGTATCATGGCGTATTTTTGCAATTAAAGGAGGCATGTCAATTTTTCAAATTTTGCGTGTATTGTCTATGGGACATGACTATTTCTCAAAACTGCATTCTACATTTCCGTCTTTCGCGAGCAACATCTCCGTTTTTTTAACTTTGTTTTCCGTGAGCTTCGGATATGTTGTAGCTGAGACAATGAGCTATCTCCAATGTGACTTCATTTTTCGATCATATGCCGGGATCATGCTCATATTTTACTTGCAAAGTGGGATTTTAGAATTCCATTTTCGTTTACGTGTAATCGCTATGAGAAACGTTTTGGTATATGGGTAACGCACTTGACTTCCGACCTTGAGATCCCGGGTTCGAGTCCGGGTGTCTCCAACAATTTTTTCTCCACCTTTTTTTTTCCTTTTGACCTTTCACTGTACCATCTCCTTTGATTATTTAAACACGTAGAATCGCAAATAATGTAATAAACAACCCTATTTACTTTAGTGTTTCCCTTTTTTCACTTAATCCATTACTTTTTGCGTGTAATCCCTGTGGGAGATAATTTTTTCTCAAATCTGGATTCTACATTCCTGTCTTTTGCGAGCAATATCGCTGTTATTTCTGCTTGGATTTTGTGCTATGTGCTATCTAAATCACCCCTCATTTTTTCAATAAGATGTCAGGATCCCGCTCATGATCATGATCTTCATCATGATTATCATGATCATCAATATCATAATGATGATAATCATTTATCAATTACATTTTCATTTCTTTGAATAAGATAAAATCGTCAAAATGTGTTCTTCGTGATATAAATTAGAATCAAAGGTGTAACTGGTTACTGCGCAGGGTCAATGGTCATATTTTTTCAATCTATCTTCCCTACATCTATAATGATCAAGGGGACACAATTTAAACTTGACATATGGATAGATCTTAATGGATGAAGCATTTCATAAAATAATATGATATCGTATAATGCATTCTTTATTATGTAAACCATTAGCATACGTATCACCTAATTCGTCAAAGTGACGAATTAAAGTCTAGTATTTATTTTGTGTCTGTATAGAAGAAATTATTATTATTCTTCCTCAATTTTGTTCGCAGGATATCTCAAGAATGGCTAAAACCATTATCATGAAACTTGCCATGATGATAGATCTTAGCCTAACTTAGAACTGCGTGACTTTTCAAAACCTCAAAGTCATCGTGACGTCATCCAGGCGCCATTTTGAGAAAATCAACTAATGATCATATCTTCATAACGGAAATATATTTCTCATTCATAATTATAACGATTAAGATCAATATCCGTCCGGTCAATTTGAGGTCAAAAAACGTGCGCAAATGAGCGCGTGCGCGCTCGTTCGCGCGTTTACGCGCGCGCAAAAATTTAAAATGCTCTAAATCATCCCAATTTTTGTTTGCATACGTTTCAGGCCATATAGAGCATTTGATAAAAAATCGCGCTCACGCGCATGCGCGCGCGTGTTTTGCGCGTACTAGCATTTTGCAACATAGAATCGCCGAATTTTCTTTATCATCATATTTGGCACATTTTTCCAAGCATTTTGATAACTTGTTCATCTTTTAATAACGCAATGAGCGTCCGTCAAAGTTGACAGCGCGCGCGGACCTGCGTTATCTTTATCCACAATACATGGGCAAAAACATGCCTATATAAAATTCATTGTAACTCTTTAGAATAAATAGAAACTCCTAATATTTTTTTCATATTTGGATAGATTATGAGTCGGAGATATGATTTCATGTCTCATTTTATCCTCAATTAACTCATGACGTCATCATAATGGCCTCCAAACTCAAAATTTCAATTTGCATATTATGACTTCAGCATATTTTTGTAAAATTGATTGTATCTCTGTAAATATTGATCAATTTTCTTTTTAATTTTGATATGTTCTAGCTGAGACAATTTTCTACAAATGTAGTTTTCACAATTTTTACTTTTGACAAAAGTATCATGGTTTTTTTTTGCGATTAAAGGAGGCATGTCAATTTTTCGCATTTTGCGTGTATTCTCTAAGGGACATGACTTTTTCTCAAAACTGGATTCTACACTCCTGTCTTTCGCGAGCAAAATCTCCCTTGTTTTAGCTTCGTTTTCGCTGAGCTTCGGATATGTTGTAGCTGAGACAATGAGCTATCAAAAGTGTGCCCTTTATTTTTCGATTAGATGCCGGGATCATGCTCATATTTCACTTGCAAAGTAGGATTTCTGAATTCCATTTCCCGTTTACGTGTAATCGCTATGGGAGATGTTTTGGTATATCGGTAACGCACTTGACTTCCAACCTCGAGATCCCTAGTTCGAGTCCAGGTGTCTCCAACACCTTTTTTTCCCACTTTTTTTTCCTTTTGACCTTCACTGTACCATCTCCTTTGATTATTTAAACACGTAGAATCGCAAATAATGTCATAAATAACCCTTTTTACTTTATTATTACCCTATTTTCACTTAATCCATTAATTTCTGGGTGTAATCCCTATGGGAAATGACTTTTTCTCAAATCTGGAGTCTACATTCCTGTCTTTTGCGAGCAATATCGCCGTTATTTCTGCTTGGATTTTGTTGATTTTTGAATATGTTGTAGCTGAGACTATATGCTATCTAAATCAACCCTCATTTTTTTCAATAAGATGTCATGATCGCGCTCATGATCATGATCATGATCATCATTATCATAATGATGATAATCATTTATCAATTACATTTTCATTTCTTTGAATAAGATAAAATCGTCAAAAGGTGTTCTTCATGATGTATTTTAGAGTCACATGTGTAACTGGTTACTGCACAGGGTCAAAGGTCATATATTGTTTCAATCTATCTTTCCTAGATCCATGATGATCAAGGAGACACAATCTAATCTTGACATTTGAATAGATCATAATGGGAGAAGCATATAAATGGGAGAAGCATTTTACAAAATAATATATCGTGTAATGCATTATTCGTTATGTAAACCATTATCATACGTATCACCTAATTCGTCTAAGTGACGAATTAAAGTCTAGTTTTAAATTGAAATCAGTTGCATGTTTAAATTAAAGCAACTTCTATGGATCTGGCATGGATACAAGTCTGATCATCATATTTAAAATTTACTTTTAACAAGGATTAATTATCATTAGGACTTTATTCTTTATATAGGAGTTGTGATTTATTGTTATTGCAGTACAACCTGTCTTGAATGTATATGCATAAAACCTTGTTTAATAATATAAGGCTTTTATTATCACGAATCCCAATAGGATTTTCACGTGTTTACTGTTCAAACCAATATGATAAAACGCTACCTTGAATTATTATGAGACACGTACTGAACCCAGAAAATTGTATATTTGATTGGATCAGAATAATTCCTTTAAAATGCATAATGTTATTATTTATTTTTAAAGATATTATTTCATGTTCATACATATAGATTATGAAAACAGAATAAGAACCAAACGGAAAATTGAAAATTAAAACAAACTTATTAAAAAATCAGTATCAATGCAGGTGATTAATCAGGATAATATAGTATAATTTTGATAGTTTATGTTTCTAGCCTCACAATATTATTTGTGTACATGTACATTGTAGGATGACCTGGAAATTAAGAAGCCATGTGGACGCACGGCTTCAGAGGACCTGGCTGAATTCATCTGCTCATCACGATCACTGAGATCTGTGAGGATCGATTATACTATACATGATGTCTTCTACTCGGTGCTTGCGAATAAAGCAGTCGATTCCAAGGTCAGTATAAATCTTTGTATCATCCACATTGTCGTTTATTTGGTACATCATTCTTTAAAAAAAAGGATGCCAAATTCAGTCAGGATTGAAATAATTTAGGAAAATACTGGGAAACAGAAATGTGCTTAAAGTCACTGAGTAGTCGGCTCTCATGGGGAATTCGACACCGTTCGGGTGTTTACCCAATAACAGGTGTTGTCAATCACCAGGGTTAGCCTTGAGTTTTATGACCATTGGACCTTATGTAATGCTTTGATTTGCCCGAAACAAAACAAATATTTTTCTCTCTCTGAAATAAACTCTCTCTCTCTCTCTCTCTCTCTCTCACTATTTCAACCCCATTTAGCACCATCCTTGAAGTTTTCAATTACTTTTTCGATGGGGTGGAGACATTTCTTCACCTATCCCATCACACTTTTTTGTTTATGTTGTCAAAATGTCTGTTTAGGATGTTTCTAATTATTTCAATGACCCAATCTCAAATTATTTTAACTAGGTTTTGAGGCATGTAATACAGAAGCATATCTTTCCACATGCTCTGCTATAACAAATAAATTACCACAGAGGTCATAACATGTGAATCATATCAAATTAACACTTAATGTATAAGGGGGCTGGGACGCCCTCCTATCGTCATTTTAATTACGTCGTAAACCGTTTTGCATTTCGCATTGCCCTTTCATGTCTCTTTCTTCAGGTCTTACGCACATTATGATACCATGTTGGTCCGTCAAACTCGGATATATATACCCGTCAGATGTGACATAACAATTCGAATGCCCATGTCACTAACATTGTGTTATGATTGCATATATTCACGAACAGGCGGAATTGCGAGTAGAGATTAGCATTTATCTCTTCATAACAGGGATGAGTGAATTGATATCAAATTGTTATTAATCATTTTTAAATCAATGTTAGGAATTCATTTTAAAAAAAATACTTGAGAATGCATATTAATTTTTTTTTAAAGACGCAAAAATTAAAATTAAATTTTCCCACTATATATCAGCAGTTGATGAGTAGTGGAGACAGATAATTCTTCCCTGGGAAATAATGGTTGTGTTTGGTTGTAGAAATCATGATAACAGTTCTAAATACTCTGATAAAGTTCAAATAAGGGAAAATATTTGTTTAAGGCATACAATTATCATAATTCAAAATCAACAATAATATTAAACAATTATAAAAGGTTTCTACATTAAACAAGGTTTAGTCTGACCATTTTGTAATGATTCAATACTTGCCCGCATACACTGTGTGCACAATCTCCACTCCCTGGGGAGCATTCCAGCCAGGCGTAACCCGGAGAGTAGCAAGTGCAGGTTATGCCAAAGGTCATATATTTGTTTTTACACTTTTCTTGAATCAAATGTCAGAATAACGTTTTGCTTTTGTACATGAATGAGGATGACAAGTATAACAATATTTGTATGTATTTTAATGTCAGCAATTGTTTATCGAATACAATGTTACTATTATAGCAGATTGAGACTTGCCATCCAGTATGTGGATCACTCCCCTCCCCCTCCCAGACCAGTCACCACCACCCCTCACTCATTCCGACGTGAAAATGTAGTAGGGTCAGTAAAATTACCCGATCATATGACCGGGGGGAAATGCCCTCCTCTCTGACAACCATGGATCCGCCATTATACTGTCGTCAATAACATAATCAGGTAGTTCAGACTATCCCCCGATTGAAAGCACACGTTTTTCTTCAAGAGTAGTCTGTTTGGTGACTGCTTTGCGACCACCGCCCGGTTTTGCCTTCTTCTGTAATTATCTTTTGTTCTGTAAGACTTCAGATCATGAGCCAAGTCCTTCATTTATATTTCCCTTCTACTCCTTCAGTCGACAGATCAATGTGATCTAGAAAATATTATAATTTTCTTTATCCGTAATTCCCAGAGTCCCGATTGGATCAATCAAAAACATATTCATCACCTCTTTTGTTACCGATCATTTATGAATAAACACCATTGAATCGGTCTCAGAAGAATCCAGGAACTACCGACATTAGTACTAACTTCAGGTGTCAAGGTAAATTGTACGTCATAAACATTGGCCCGAATTCACAACGGAGGTCTGAGGACAAAGCCGGTTTGATCAGACCAAGGTTTGTACAAACCTCGGTCTGAGCTCAAACCTGGTTTATTTTCAAACCCATTCCACAAAGGAAGGTTTGTATAAACCTTGGTCTGTAATTCCCAAACCTCGGACCAAGGTTTGTAAAACTAGTCTCAGCCATAGGGTTTCTAACATAATTTTTATGGGCTAGGGTTTAAATGTTAAGAATTGAAAAAACTGTTAAACTAAGCATTCTTAGTACGATCCGGACATCTTAATGAGCAATCTTGAAAAGATGATGGTTAGAACATCTCTGAAATTAACTTTTGAATCGCATTTTCATGAATTAATCGAACCAAACTGGCGCGCCGATGCAGAAAGTGCCCCACGTACTCACATTTGTGTGGTGCTGGTGAAGCACTCAATCTGACCCAGAACAAATTGACATCGACACCTGAAAACCTTCGTTAGATAAATACATCTAAGGTTGTCAAGGGCTCTTTTAAATTAACTGTAAGAGTATTATTGTTTTGGGGGTTACAAATTCTTATCAATAAAATCACCTAATAATAATAATAATAATGATTTAATATGACTTAAGTTTTTATTGTGATTAATATATTACTTCATAGATCTATATAGTTCTTTTGTTAGAATGGTCAATCAATTATTATTTTAACTAGTTCCCCGTTTGTTTCCCCAACTGGCTATTTTTTCACATCAAAATTGTAACTGGTAAATGATTTGTTTCCATATAATATTAATTTTTAAAAAATTCCTCTATGGCCATCTTTTCTTTCTCTCTCCCTGTCTCTTTCTCTGTCCCCGTCCCTCTCTCTTTCTACCCATTTTTGTTCTCTCTCCCTATCTTTCTCTATTAATTCTTTTTCTTTCTCCCCTCTCTCTCTCTATTCATCTTTCTCTCTCTCCCTCCCTGTCTCTTTCTCTGTCCCCGTCCCTCCTCTCTCTTTCTATACCCATTTTTGTTCTCTCTCTCTCCTTTTCTCTCTCTATTAATTCTTTTTCTTCCCCCCCTCTCTCTCTCTCTCTCCCTCCCTTTCTCTCTCTATTAATTTTTTTCTTTGTCCCCTCTCTCTCTCTCTCTCTCTTCTTCTACTTTTTTGCAATGAAACACATAATGCAAAACCATGCAAACTGCAAACACACACATCTGCACCCCCCCCCCCCAAAAAAAAAGGGAGAAAGAGAGAGAGAGAGATAATCTGACACATATCTATTTCAGTTATCTTTGTAAATATATGAAAGCAAGAATATGGTATTCGTATTTTTATGTTTTACATAAATAATTGAGCATACAACACAATAGTAATCTACCGTTTGTTCAAACAATGCAGTTCACATTTGTAAATTTTGTAGCATGCTTATATGAAATATAGCCCACTAGAGGTTAAGAGAGGCTCTGGAAGGCCAATTAAAAGTCTCACTGTAGCGCTGTTAGCAGAAAGAAAATCAGAAATACAACAAAATGGGTGACGAAAATTCAAATTTGCACATAAAAGTTCTTTAATTCTGACTTCGCTTAGTACAGTAAATAATATTTGTTCGAATACTCTCCCCTAGCTGCCAACCAAATAATTTATATTGACCCACCCCTCAACTCAGCAGTACAATGCTAATTATAGTTAAATCGGGTGCATTTAATCTACAGAGAACACTTAATTACAAATACCGTCAGAGTGACAACAAATACTTATCAACTAAACATAACTTCAAAAATATTCATAAATAATCAACGGTTCAACACACAGGTTCTTGATGTAATGCTGCATAACTACGAAGTATTGTGGGAACACCAGGGAGGGGCCGTATTTTGAAATACTCTTAGTATTGATGAGGCATGGAACGTCCTCATCCTTGCATTTAATAAATATGCGCTCAATCACACATCTCCCTTTTTTGTGTGTGAAGTGTTAAAGCCCCACTGTACTACTTCTAGCTACTTGCTCCCTCTTTATAGAAAACTTCCCCAATCTGTGCCTGTTAATCCCCCATGATCCTCTTTTTCTTATTTTAATTGAGAACTGAATTGATGAGATAGCCTCCCGTCAGTGACCTTGCTGGGTTGTCTAATCCTCTTTGGCTGAACCAGTACAGATGGCCTTTAAAGCACATCTGTGGTCGACCCTCTGAATGAAGAAATGGCTTCTGATGAGGCAGAGAAGGCATGGATACCTGCAAAATTGAATGGACAAAATAAACAAAATCATAAACAATATTCTTAATTTCGACTTGTTCATTTTTTTTCTTGGAGGGGGGTAGGGGGGGGGGGTAATACTATAGAAAGGATACAATGTATTATACACATAATCAGGAATTATTCAATCCTGTGTCACTAATACAAAAACTATGAGGTTCCACTTGACAACAAACTAATCAAGTTGCATCCAGATATCAAAAACATTAATTGTGATTTGTGAACTGAAATTTAAAAGCACATGAGCTCGTTTGAATTAATTACTTAATGCGAGTTGTTACTATATTACCAAATGAATATTCCTAACATGTCACATGTTGGCCAAATACAAAAAAGGAAACAAGATTGATTAAGAAAAAGAATAAACAAATGTTTTCATATAAAGAAATAATCTACAGTACCTACCCTATAGTCTATCTCCAAGAATCAACTGTTATTCATATGCCCTAGCATCAAGCTGCCAATTCAGTGCACACTCAGAAAAGATCCTGGCATCGTGGCTGCTACCAGTCCAGGCCACCTTGCAACGATACTAGTTATTTTCCCAGCATAATCACAGACAACCTGTCAATATGAAATAACATGTTGGCATTCATTAGTTATGAAAACTCACTCATTTCACACTTCAGATAGGCCGTGAAATGTATAAATTTCACTTGTTATTTATGGTAATTAATGCAAATGCAGTTGAATATGTGATAATTGCTTTTCAATATCTATTCATACAACAAAAATTGGAAGAAAATTCTAATTACCCTATATTTATTGACTGATGAAGTATTTCTTCATTTTTAACTCATGTTTTCATTGTTTATCTTGTAACAATGTAAACAAAAATAATCTCACTTTTAACAAAACATTTCGAGCCTAAAACAACAAATGCTTTGTGTGTGTGTGTGGGGGGGGGGGGGAGGGGGTACCCACTCTCTTATCTTTTTATTGGAAATGAACCTGTTTGTTTTTCTATAGTTTAAAATATATAGTGGTAATTGCCATTGATCAATTTACATGTTTCTCTTTGTTGTTTTTTCTTTCATTGATCAATGGCAAAAACAGTGGCCCAATTGCCATGGCCATCAACAAAATATCAGAAATCTAGAGGTCATATCCGTATTGCCAATAGAAGGATGGAACAAGTTTTGATTTTTCAAATTTCCCTTTAGTTAAAAAGATATTAACGAGTGTTAGGATTTTTAAGTTTAACTATCCATTGGATATTCTTAACTGTGTACAAAGGCAGTGAAATGAGTACCTGTACGCGAATATTACTTTAATATCCATTTGGCCACTAGAAATCTTGCATTGGTCACCAATGAATTAGCATGGATGTACAACACACAAGACTGGAGAGTGTATATATCTAATGTGAAAATTTTGCAAGGTACAAAAAAAAGGTCTAAAGGGAAAGCCGTGCTGGATCCAGTCATGATGTATTCATTTATTCTCACCTGAACATCGATGGAGTACCTGTTCTTCCTATTGAAGTAGTACCTGGCTCTTGCCCCACCAGGGCTCCTGATGTAAATCATTAGGTATCAAGGGTACCGTCCTCAATTGGTTTATATCATACCTCTCTGAACGATCTCAGTATGTAAAAATCGGTAATTCTACCTCTGGTAAAACGACTATGAAGTATGGTGTACCCCAGGGTTCGATAGGAGGACCACTGCTTTTTTCTCTTTATATGCAACCAATCAGCCAGATATTTCACAAACACTGTATTAGTTACCATTGTTACGCAGATGACATCCAAATTTATCTTTCTTTTAAACCTACAATGTCTTCACTGTCATCAGCTATTTCAAAACTTGAAACATGTCTTGAAGAACTCAAATCCTGGTTAATATCTAATGGCCTTAAGCTGAACGATGATAAATCTGAGTTTTTATTATTAGGTTCCAAGCACATGTTACGGAAGGTTGACCATCAATCGTGTCATCTCCATATTGGAAAAACATGTATCACTCCATCAAAAACAGCTCGTAATTTAGGTGTAATATTTGATCAGGAAATGTCCTTTCGTAATCATATAACACATGTCCAACAGAGTGTAAGGTACCAATTACGTAATCTAAGTTTCATAAGAAAGTGTTTATCTAAACCTGCGGCTGAGATTTTGATTCATGCTTTAATTTCTTCTCGTTTAGATTTTGCAAATTCTTTGTTCTGTAACCTTCCAAAAAAAGATGTCACAAAACTTCAACGACTTCAAAATTCTGCAGCCCGCCTATTAACATTCACTAAGAAATCTGATTCAATATCACCAATTCTCCGTTCTCTCCATTGGTTGCCAGTTGACAAAAGGATTATTTTTAAAATTATGTTACTTGTTCATCATTCAGTTTACTCTCTTTCTTCCCCTACATACCTGAACAACTCTGTTTCAAAATACAACCCCACACGAAGTCTTCGCTCCTCATCAGACACACTATTACTTAATACACCCAGAATAAAACTTGCTTGGGGCGATCGGGCTTTCTCCGCAATGGGTCCAAAACTTTGGAATAAGCTCCCTCTACAAATACGCCAACTGTCATCAAAAGAAACATTCAAATTACAACTGAAAACTTATTTGTTTCTTTCGTTGTAAATATTGTAATATTTTAATTTACCATGTCTAGGAGAATTTCGATTTTTGTTTTTCGGTTTATTGTTGTTTTTCTTTCTTATGTCTGTTACATGTCCTTTTCTCTAAGCGCCATGAGCACCGAAAGGTGGACCTGTGCGCTATACAAATAGCCACTATTATTATTATTATTAAACATGTGTCCCATCAACAGCAACTCCTGGAAATCTGCAGTACTGGAAAAACTGCTTCTGAATAGTAGTCACTATTTGCCTTGTTGTAACTTGTAGGAAACTTCATGACTTGTCCCTTTCTTCTGACAACAGCTTCGGAAACATCCCTCACTACTCTCCATTCGGCAAACAGATGAATATGACACGGCATGCCGCCTCCTCACGGTGCATCCTTTAGATCGAATTACCTTTTTAAAAAAATTAAAAAAACAAGCATTCAAATAAATCATTTTTTTGCTGGTTTATGCTATTATATTTTTACATCCCCAACTGTCACTGTCACTTAAAAAAAAAAAAAATCCTGATTTCTAGATGTGGTGTGAATCAATTTAACGTAAAAGACAAATTGTCTATGCCTTTTCTAATCTCCTTCACGGCTTCACCTTTTGAAGAATAAGTTTAAGTAGTTAAGTAGTTTTACACAAAACAAGAAATCACAAACCTGTTTCCAACACATAATCTGAATAATTTCCTCATGTATTAAAGCCAAATAACAGTATTGGGAAATGCCCCACACACAAATTATGAACATTAATGCTTCCATCACCTACAGTACCATACTGTAAAAGAATAAATATCATAACTAATCTATCAATGTATCGAATATGACAGAAAATGCTTAGAAATTGAATAAATTTATGTAAATGCACATGTGTATTGCATTGGGGGCTTGCACGGTCGTAGGCAGACCAGCGAAGCGGGGCAAACGAACAGTGAATTTAGGCGGTCAACATGAATTGAAATATTTCTGCATTTTAATAACGACACTAGGGTTGGATTTTACAACAGAAGCCCTTTTTTTGTATAGCTATGTTAACAATATTCATCAAGTAGTTTGGCCATGTTTTCAGCAACTTTCCCAATACAGAATTCGAATTTGAGTTCAACTTCAAAGTAGCCTACCTCAATCTAAAACAAAAGGCTCATCATCAAGCGGGTTTTCCCAATCTCAGACTCAGAGGCCTCTGCCCGGTTGTGCTGCTATATATTGCTCCAGCTCCTCCTCCAGGTACACCAGCTCATTATGCTGAATCAGCTGCATTTCTACCATCTTTACTAGAGTGAAGATAAAATTAAACAAATGTTTAAACAATGTTTTTAAATTAAAGAAATGTTATTAGACTACTTGTGCTTGTGACTTTGTGGGTGATCCTTTCTCCGGAGACTAAGCCAGTTAATTAAGACAATCAGAACCAGATCTAAATTTAATAAAACTAAGCTTTGCTTGTCATGACTCATACTAGACTAGATCTAGATCTAGTCATAGACAGAAATAACTGTCTGAGTGATATGGGTCATTTCTTTAATAAAAATAATATTAAAACTGACATTTGTTGACATTCTATAATCGGAGGTCTAGGTCTAGTGCCTATGGAGCCAGGCGTAGTCTCAGTGAACAACCGGCGATATAGAGAGACTGAAGCTTTTGGTCTATGCCTGAGTGTCAGTGTGATTCATTTTGGGGAACATTGGCATTGCTGATGCCATTTCAATTTCTATTTATTTAGGTACCAGTGTCAGTGAAACAAGTCAAGTGATGGACATCATTGCCAGGCCTATACTAGGCTAGAGCCTGGTATTATTATCATTATCATGAATTTGTAATAACTAGTGTAGGTCTAGGCCTATTCTAATTGGCATGTGTCATGGCATTGCTGACAACAAGACGAAATTAAACATGACAGTCATACTGACATACTCAGATATAGCCTACTGTACTGTAGGCCCGGCTAGGCCCAACTCCAGCCCAGGGTCAGAGGGTGCGAGCTCCGCCGCCGCCTTGGGCGTTGGACTCGAGCTCCCTCGGACTCAGTCCCTGAACTCTGGAATTGAGAGGCCGTCGGATATGTAAACACCGAACATTTCATGGAAAATGGAAAGTTATAAAACATATCACATATTGAAATGTCAGTAACGTGAAGAGTATGGATTCGACTACATGTACAGGTTTTATACTTACGATTTTAAGGAAAGGATCGAGAGATTGAGAGATTTCAATTGCACTAAAATCGGGCTGACCAGATACTATCGCAGATTGTTTTGGCGGTGAATTATTTGGATAAAATCAATCGAGCATAAATTATCTCCACCCAGTGCTGCATCCTGATTGGTTGATAGCTCTCAAACCAGGTTTGAGAAATAGGCCAGTTTCGGCGGTTACGTAATGCGCGGTTACTGTAACCAGGCCCGACAAGCTTTGTCAAATCACCATTTTGAATCTGTGCATTGTGTATTAGACTGTCGGTTCTTGCCGTTAAATTGCATTCATATCTTTCTATCAAAACTGCGTGTATATATATGAATTTCTGTTTTGGCCGGAAATGTCTTCCAACTTGCCATTCATCAAGCTGAGTTTCAGGCAGCTGCAATATTTTCTAAGAAAAAGAGGAGTTTCGACTACGGTATACACCCGAGAAAAGACTCGTTAAATTAGCGTCCGCAGTAGCGGACTAGCCTGCCCGTAGCCCCTGACCTACGGGGTCCGTGTCACTCGGTAGACGTGACTGTATGGGGAAATTACAACGGGCAGGATTTTCGTTAAGTGAACTAGTTACATACCTCCCTTAAATTTGACGATATTCCTGACTTTGGGACCTATGACGTATTCAATTATCTAGTAGAGAATATGGCGGACCATGCATTTATGATCGTCGAAAACTGAAGGCTTTTAAGAGTTTTGAAGACTTTCGATTGATATTTTCCGATGGCCATAGATTATGTGGCCTGGAGAAGCTCGAGTACAATCCCCCCTCTAGTTAGCTCCCGGCAGCTCATGATAGCGACTTGTGACTAGATTATACAGGTCAAACCGACGCAAAAAGACAAAACGTACCAACTTGAACAAAAAGAAAAAATATATAAATAATAAACAAATAAAAAGTAGAAGTCTAGACTAGACTTCTAGATCTAATAGAAAATGTAATAACAATTTTATTTTTAAATGTTTTTTTAAATAATAATAATTGCTTCTTGAAGTTGAATAACGAAGGTCCGGCATAATTGTAGTCTAACACTATTAACTTTTATTTTATGAAAATCAAACTTAATTCCTAATCTTATTCTAAACAATAAAATTATTCATCATCCTGATTCTAGCTCTTCCTTGCCATCATAAGGTTTTTTTTTATTATTACCGCTTTTATTCCCTTTTTCCATTGCTCTATCATTCTTTTCCCTTGTTCATTGTTTTTCTTCATTTTCCGGTCAAAATTATTTGTTTATCATTATTCATCATTCTTATTCTAGCTCTCTGTCATCGGACGATATTATTTTATAAATATTATTTTATTAACAAAGACCTTATATATATTATATTATTACCTTTATTGTCTTTATTTCTCGTTGCTTTTGTTAATAATATTGATTCTGCGGTCAGTGCTTGCTTCTCGTAATAGCCGTTTCTCGTCCGCCTTGAAATAGTCCGTATCGAGGCGTTTCACAAACATTTTTTAATCCGTAAAATTGTTTTCATTTTGAAAATGTGAATCGCGCCTACACAAACACGAACACGTGGTACGTGCGCACGCTTCTGCAAGCAGAGGTGACTGTGTGTGCGAACGAGTGGAAAATAGTTCATCACTTCTTTCATTTCTACGTCCAAATTTGTACTCAGATTCAAGCTAAGGTAAATGCAAAATTGAATGGAAATTACCGATATCGGCTAGCTAACTTATATTTTGGTGCTTCGCTTTCTGTTTCATCACTGGCTTTCAAGCCAATGTCGCTTGTATCATCGACCTCGTTTTTATTTTTGAGGGGGTATCGTGCGCTGCCTGTACCGGGGACTTGGCCGTACAGGTTTAGCTGCAAGATGTGAATCGCTAGTTCTGTACCAGCAATGCTTTTCTATTATTCTTGCCTAAGACTCAGCGATTTTAAGGATCAAATGTATGAAGAACAAAATCACATCTCAAAGATATTTCTTATTCAAGTTTGAAACTGCCTCCTTTTTCTTCTCTCTCTCTCTCTCTCTCTCAAAATAGCGAAAACAAACGAAACAATCACACTTGGCGAACACAGTCATGTATGGTATGCACGCAAAGTGTAGTCTGCTTCGCACCGCGAGTTCTTTGCTTGTCCGACCCTCCGATTACGTAATGCGATTTAAAGGTCTCTGAATACATTACGAAACTGGCCTATTACAAACCTCCTATCTGAGCAGTCTGTAAATTTCGGGTCTGATGACGTACATAAACCTGGTCTGAGGACAAACCTTGCTTTGTGAAATGTAATTTCAGACCAAGGTCTGAACTCAAACCTGAAACGCGTCATATGACGTACATAAACCTTGGTCTGAGGACAAACCGGCTTTGTGAAATGCATTTCAGACCAAGGTCTGAACCAAGGTCTAAAACGCGTCATATGACGTACGTAAACCTTGGTCTGAGCTCAAACCTTGCTTTGTGAATTCGGGCCATAAATGTGATTGTAATGAGAGTCTATCATTGTGGCAAATTTAAAACGAATTGTTGATTCTTGAATATGGTTTTATTTGGTTGTTATTAGTATTCATTCAACATAATGTTGCTATCATAACAGATTGAGACTCTTCACATCTACTCTGATGATATCAAAGAACGTCCCTCTGCATCACGTGATTTCGCTCAGTTCATCTGTAAGATGACTCATCTGAAGAAGCTGACACACAACGGTCAGTTTCACGATGACTTCTACTCAACATCGTCATCGATGGCATCATCTGCAAAGGTATTGATTAGCTCATATTTTGTTGGACTCTCAGCAAATCACTACATGCTTTTGTTATACTGGAGGTGTACTCTTTCCTATATCGTCATACGCAAGAGTACAATTTTACTCTCCCTATTGGTACACCGTTAAGAGTTATTTCTGTCATAATACAAAATCAGAGGGAATATTTTATGATCAACAGTGAATAATATAAACCATATTTTAAATTTCATATGACTATTCGGGGTGCTATGGAATTGCTGATGGAGAGACAACTATTTTAACTGCGAATGCTGATGATACTAAATATTTAAATTTAAAAACCTACAAAAATGAAAAATCGAATCTCTTTGTACCAGTTTGTATTATATCTGAAACCCTTTGAAATCTGCAAAGTGTTCAATGTACATATTGTTTCACACTTTTCTGTTATGTACAATTATTTTTTTCAATATTTTTTACTAAATCAATTTCAGAATAACGTATCGCTTTTATAAATGAATAAGGATGGCAACTGTATCATGCTGTAATGTTTAAAATTATTTTAAAGTAGTGTAATGTCAGCAATTGTTTATTTGATACAAAGTTACTACTATAATAGATTAATACTTGGCATCCAGTATATGGATCACCCCCTTTCCCATCCACCAGCCCTAACTCATTCCGACGTTTGAATGTAGTAGGATCAGTGAAATTACCGGATTATATGACCGAGGGATGAAATCCCCTCTTCTCTGACAATCATGGATCCGCCATTATACTGTTGTCAATAACATAATCAGGGTGTTCTGATTTCCCCGATTAAAAGCACACGTTTTCCTTGAAGAGTAGTGTGGTCGAGGACTGGTTTGTGACCGTTCTGCCTACTTGTTTTATTCTCTTTAGTTCTGTACGACTTTAGATCATGAGCCAAGTCCTTCATTCATATTAACCCACTGATCCCTCAATCAACAGGTCAATATGATCTAGAAAATATTACTATTCATTTTATCTGTAATGCCCAGAGTACCGATTGGATCAATCACAAACCTATTGATCACCTCTGTCATTATATATCAGTTATGAATAAACGCCATTACCTCGGTCTCAGAAGGATCGAGAAACTACTGAAATTAGTACTAATTTCAGGTGTTAAGAATTGTATATCATAAACAAAATAAATGTTATTGTGTTAAGAGTTTTTTTTTATTGTGGCAGCGATATTATTACAATTTAAAGCAAATTGTTGATTCTTGAATATAGTTTTATTTGGTTGTTATTAGTATTCATTCAAAATAATGTTGCAATCATAACAGATTGAGACTCTTTACATCGACTCTAAAGATTTCGGAGAACGTCCCTCAGCATCACGTGATCTCGCTCAGTTCATCTGTAAGATGTCTCATCTGAAGGACCTGACACTCGACGGACAGTATCACGATGACTTCTACTCAACAGCGTCATCGATGGCATCATCTGCAAAGGTATTGATTTCATCGTATATTTCAGGGCTCTCAATAAATCACTACATGTTTTGGATATACTAGAGGTGTACTCTTTCCTTTATAGTCAAACGCAAGTGTACAAGTTTACTCTCCCTATTGGTACAGCGTTTAGAGTAAGCAGGTACGAAAAGTTGATCGTTTCAGGAAGTGGATGCGAAAAGTGAATTTCTGTCGTAATACAAAATCAGAGGGAAGATTTTAAGATCAATAGTGAATAATATAAACCATATTTTAAATGTTATATGCCTATTCGGGGTGCTATGGAATTGCTGTAGAGAGACAACTATTCAACTGCGAATGCTGATGAGACTAAATATTTAAATTTAAAAACCTACACAAATGAAAAGTCAAATCTCTTTGTCCCTGTTTGTATTATATCTGAAACCCTTTGGAAACTGCGAAGTATTCCATGTACATTTTATTTCACCTTTTTCGGTTTTGTACAATTATTTTGTTCAATATTTTTTACTAAATCAAATTTCAGAAAAACGTATAGCTTAAGTAAAATAATAAGGATGGCAACTGAAGCATGATGTAATGTTTAAAATTATTTTTTAGTAATGTAATGCCAGAAATTGTTTATCCAATACAATATAATACAATATATATATAACTATTATAACAGATTAAGACTTGACATCGAATATGTGGATCGTTCCCCCTCCTCCTCGACCACCCCTCATCATTCCGACGTTTAAATGTGGTAGGGTCAGTAAAATTACCGGATCATATGACCGCAGGATAAAATGCCCTCTTCTCTGACAATCATGGATCCATCAATATAATGTAGTCGATAACATAATCAGGGTGTTCTGATCCCCCCCCCCTATTGAAGGCACACGTTTTTCATGTAGAGTAGTGTGGTTGAGGACTGATTTGTGACCGTTATACCTTCTTGTTTTATTAAACCCCTCGTCGACGAAGTCGGAGGCGATATACATGTAGTAAAGCTGCCGCACGTCCTTCCTTCTGTTCTTCCGTAGGTAATCTGGTTTCCATTTGATAACCTTTAATGTTTAACGGATTTTAATGAAATTTAATATGAAGGCACATGGTATTAAAATACAGCCTATGTTTAATTTCGGAGTATGTAGGTCAAAGGACAAAGGTCATAGCTCATTACATACAGGTGTATGCGAAAATCCCTACTTAGATATAGGCGAAAATGTTTTTTTTAATCCAATAACGTAAGTAATGTTGTTAAGTACACACGTCAAAGCTCAAAGGTCACATCCCATTGAATATGCAAAAATTGCTTAATTAAGGAAATTGTACCCGGCGAGGGGATGCTACGCTTTGCGTTGACTTCTTCTCTTTTGTTCCGTTAGAATTTAGATCAGGAGCCAAGTCCTTCATTCATATTTACCCACTACTCCCTCAGTCAACAGGTCAACATGATCTAGAAAATATTATAATTTACTTTATCCGCAATGCCTACAGTCTCGATGGGATCAATCAAAAACAAACTAATCATCTCTGTCATTATCTATCAGTTACATGTATGAATAAACACCATTGAATCGGTCTCAAAAGAAACCAAGAACTAATGAAAGTGGTACTAATTTCAGGTGTCAAGATTTGTATATAATACACAAAATAAATGATATTGTGTTTAATAGGAGTTTATCTAACACAATGTTACTATACGGCAACGATATTAATATAATTTGTAATGAATTGTTGATTCTCGAATATAGTTTTATTTGGTTGTTATTAGTATTCATTCAACATAATGTTGCTATCATAACAGATTGAGACTCTTGGGATCTACTCTAAATATCTCAATAAACGTCCCTCTACATCACGTGATCTGGCTCAGTTCATCTGTAAGATGACTCATCTGAAGGACCTGACACTCGCCGGTCAGTATCACGATGACTTCTACTCAACATCGTCATCGATGGCATTATGCGCAAAGGTACTGATTTGATCATATTTTGTTGGACTCTTAGCAAATCAGTACATGTTTTTCTTATACTGTTGGTGCACTCTTTCCTATATTGTCAATCGAAAGTGTACAATTTTACTCTCCCTATTGGAACACTGTTAAGAAGAAGCAGGTAGGAAAAGTCGATCGCTTCAGTAAGTGGGTGTTAAAAGTGAACTTTTTGTCATAATACAAAAACAGAGTGAAGATTATATGATTGATAGTGAATAATATTTACCAATTTTTTCATTTCATATGACGATTCGAAGTGCTACGGAATTACTGATGGAAAGACAGCTATTTCAATTGTGAATACTGATGAGACTAAATAGTTTAATTTAAAAACCTACAAAATGAAAAATCGAATCTCTTCGTTCCCGTTTGTATTATTTCTGTAATCATTTTTCAAAGTTCTATTTAAATCAAATGTCAAAATAACGTAGAGCTTGTTTAAATGAATGAAGAAGGCTACTGTAGCATGATGCAATGTATATCGGTCTCAAAGGAATTCAGGAAATATTGCAATTAGTAATCATTTCAGATGTCAAGATTTAAACATCATTAAACACAATAAATGCCAATAAATATTACTATTCATTTTATCTGTAATGCCCAGAGTACCGATTGGATCAATCACAAACGTATTGATCACCTCTGTCATTACTGTAATGATATGGATATTCTCGTGTTTACGTTTTCCTCAAAGGTTCATTGACGTACATGTACAAGGCAAATTCCTGGTAGATTTCGCTAGAACTATGTTTACAAACATACATGGTGAATTCCTTGTATGCTATTTTTAACACCTGTTCCGAGACGTTGCGCTCTTAATTTTGGCTCTACTTTTTCGGCTTGGCCGATTGGATTAGGTGTCGCTGGGCGTGTCGCCACAGTTGACTTAAATTTAATTAGGCAAATTTGGGAAATAGATTTGTATTACAATTGGAAGGGTTTTTCCTTGTTGCCGGGTCTGTTCACACTATCGAAATAGTATGAGAGAGGAAGTGAGGATTACAGGTGTGTAATAGCCAGAAGCATGTGGGCTCGCTAGTGTGGACGGACATAGCAACATTTATCCCTTTTTATATTCATTGAATTAATTTCCAGGGTTGTTGGGTCTCCGGGTGATTTGCATCTCTTGTTTGAAAGATTAGAATGTAAGAGACACAGGTGGGTGCGTGAAAGAAGTATGTGAGGAATAGAGATGCGGATCATCCAGAGCGCCTTATATCCGGGGGGTAAATTCGCCAAGAAATATAGGACCTTTTAATACGGAAACTAATTATGGGTGGATTGATATTACGCAAAGCGTCTGTGTGACACGCCTCAATTTTTGGGAGGACGAGGCGTGTCAGTTCGGGAGGATAAAAACCGAGTTGCGTCTCTGGAGCGGGACCTCTTTTCCGTTACGATACCGACATGAGTTACTAATTTGCTTCAATTGGGTTGCCCAGCCCCAAAACATGAACTTCGTGATTTTATTAATTCTACGTTTATTTTAATAAATCTTCAACTCCAATCAAGAATTTGTTTTAGTGACTTTGATTTATCTTCGTTTTCTACACTTCAAGAACTAAAGTTATACTTTAACATTTTCTGAGTCGGTACTAGGCGGGGCGGCTTTGGCCACCGGCCCGTCTCGCCGTGGATCGCTTCATTACCTATATCAGTTATGAATAAACGCCATTACCTCGGTCTCAACAGAATCCAGGAACTATTGAAATTAGTACTAATTTCAGGTGTCAAGACTTGTGTTTCATAAACAAAATAAATGTTATTGTGTTAAGAGGTTTTTTTAAATTGTCGCAGCGATATTATTTCAATTTAACACAAATTGTTGATTCTTGAATTCAGTTTATTTGGTTGTTATTAGTATTCATTCAACATAATGTTGCTATCATAACAGATTGAGACTCTTGAGATCTACTCTGCTGATCTCAACGAACGTCTTTTTGCATCACGTGATCTGGCTCAGTTCATCTGTAAGATGACTCATCTGAAGGACCTGACACTCAACGGTCAGTATCACGATGACTTCTACTCAGCATCGTCATCGAAGGCATCATCTGCAAAGGTATTGATTTAATCATATATTTTAGAACTCTCAACAAATCACTACATCTTTTTGTTATACTGGAGGTGTACTCTTTCCCATATAGTCAAACGCAATTGTACGATTTTACTGTTCAAAGTACTCCACCGTTAAGAGGAAGCAGGTAGGAAAAGCTGAAAGTTTCGGGAAGTTGATGCGAAAAGCGAACTTTCTGTCATAATACAAAAACGGACAAACGTAATATTAAAGATTTATATTAAAAACAATTTTTTTCATAGCTATACTTCATCCAAATATATTGACAAATGGCAATGGATGGCTTCTATGATGAACAAGAATTGATCACTTCTATTAGTTCTTTCAAAACTATATCTAGGAAGGACTGTTGAAATGTGAACATTGTGCATATCATTGTATCGATTCAGCCATATAGAAATATACACCAAGGGCCTGTAATTCTGCTTTTCACTAAATTAATCAGGTAATAGTTTGTGCGACAGATTGAGACCTTTTTCGTTGGAGATGCGTTTCTCAGAGGATAATGGTATTGATAGTAATTAAAATAATAATAATAATAATCATAGTAATAATAATAATTGAATTTAAACAGCTCCTTTTCCAGAGTTGACAAGACGCTGTGTGTCAGCAATGATATCCTTTGGCACCACGTGATCACTTCACGGGTTGAATAATGGCGGATTGAGAATAGGGGCAAACGCCCCCCCACCCCCTCCTTCGGCAAAACCCTATCTGGCATAATTATCAAAATAAGAATGGGTCCGTAATTATGCAATTTACCCCCCCCCCCCCACCCACAACCAGTGGCGTAATGAGCAAAAACGTTTGGGGGGGGGGCTGACAAAAAAAAAATCCGAATCACCCCACTCTAACATGCAGGCCCCGCTGAATTACGTTTCTCAAAGTGGGGTCTAGGGGCAAAGCCCCGGTGGGGTTCAAGGGACGAAACCCCCGAAGCTCAAGGGGTATGGGCATCAGTGGCGGATCCAGGAATTTCTTACCGGGGAGGGGGGCACAAAATGGCATGGGGTGAAATATACAGTATGTAAAACGATGAAGCAACAGAACGAGGCTTTAACGGCGATGGAGCGGAGCGACCAAGCAGGGGGTGGGTCTGGGAGGGGGTTTTGGCCCCCTCCCAGAGTAAGAAGCATTTGCAATTTTAGAACCAAATTAGACGCATTTTCAGGCACTTCCTGGAGTAATATGACGTAAAATTGCTTTCCCCTACCCCTTCCAAGAGTAGGGATCTTTTGCAATTTGAGAACCACATTTGGCGCATTAAAGTCCACCGGCATTTCATGGAGAAAAAAAGGGCCCTCTGATTAGTTAGAAGTTAGAGAAAAGTGATCTGTCACGTCGTGAGACGTTGTATAAATTATGCTTTGATGCCTCACAATGCACAAAGACGGTGGTCCGGTACTTCACCAGTAGTACTTGCAAAAATTATCTCGAGTGTATAAACTGTGTCGTTATCAGGGGCGTCGCCAGATCTTTTTTAGTGGGGGAGGGGGGGGGGGTGTAGAGGCCGCCGATTACCGACAAAACGAGCCACCAATATTATTACCGACAAATATAAAAATACCAATGTCCAAATGTCTACAAATTTAACCCTTTAAACCCGGGGCCAGGAACTAAGTTATTTTTCAGTTTTCCCCTCCCGCGCGAAGCGCGGAAGCTTTGACACTTCATTAAATTATTAGAGAAAGAAGACGATCCGTTGTACTGTTCTCGACTCTTAAAGCTCGTTTCGCCCATGACGTTTAATTTAATTATTAGAGAAAGAAGACGATTCATTGTACCGGTCCCGACTCTTCATCCTTGTCTGAATTCAGTTCCCCCCTCCCGCGCTAAGCGCGGAAGCATTGACGTTTCAATTCATTATTATTCTTAATCCTTGTCTGAAATTAATTTCGCTCATCCCGCGCGAAGCGCTGAAGCTTTCACGTTTTATTAAATTATTAGAGAAAGAAGACGATTCATTGTACCGGTCGCGACTCTTAACCCTTGTCTGAATTCACTTTCGCCCATCCCGCGCGAAACGCGGAAGTTTTCAAGTTTCATTAAATTATTAGAGAAAGAAGACGAATCATTCATTTTCATTGTACCGTTGAACCGTTCTCGACTTGCTCTGACGTTTCAATCAATTAATACTATAAATCCTTGTCTGAATTCATTTTCGCCCATCCCGCGCGAAACGCGTTAGCTTTCAAGTTTCATTAAATTATTTGAGAAAGAAGACGAATCGTTTTATTGTGTCTTTGTCTGAATTCAGTTCCCCCCTCCTACGCGAAGCGCGGAAGCTTTGTCGTTTCATTTAATTATTACTCTTAATCCTTGTCTGAAATCATTTTCGAGTTTCATTAATTATTAGAGAAAGATTAAGACGATTCGTTGTACCGTTTTCGACTCTTAATCGTAGTCTGAAATTAGTTCCCCCCCCCCCCTCCCGCGCGAAGCGCGGAAGCTTTGCCGTTTCATTAAATTATTAGAGAAAGAAGACGATTCGTTGTACCGTTCTCTACTTTTAATCTTGTCTGAATTCAATTTCCCCCACTGGGTCCCTTAACGGTATATGTGCAGTGTTACATGATGTAAGTATGGAACGCTCGTTCGCAAATCTGTGCATGCTCAGCCCGAGTGGTGGGTATGTTATCTCCCGACTGTGCTTTGCACAGTAGCTTCTGGAAAGGAATTAGTGTACTATAAGGCCCTTAGTGACTATAAAAAAAATATGCTCTTCCTGGCTATTTGGGAATGGGTCAGTTTGCAAGAAATAATGGAGAAACTATAGCATTTTGTTGAAAATCATGTGATATCACGAACATTTATACATTACTTGTGAAAATAAGTCATGGTTAATTTTTTTTTTTTTTTTTTTTTTTTTGGGGGGGGGGGGGGGCTGTCGCCCCCAAGCCCCCCCCCCACCAGTACGCCAGTGCCCACAACGGCACTTAAATGTCATAAGCCTTGCTTTTTCTCTCCATCTCACTATGTATCGAATATTTAGAGAAGTTAAATACAAACTCTATAGCGCTTACATAGAAATAAACTCAAAGTAAATAGACCCATTGAATTACGAAGGAAAGACGTACTTTTGGTTGCTGGTCAGATAATTGAAGCCCCTCTGAAGTGTTGGGGGCCCCAACAATTTGATAGAAAGATTTTACTTAAATTGTATCATAATGTAAAAGAGGATGTCATAAATATTGATAAAAGAATACAACAGTACAACAAAAAACAAAAAAATTATGTATTTTTTAAAATCATATTTGTCTTCAAATACATTTTTCTTTTTTTTTTGTGGGGGGGGGGGGAGGATATTTGCAGAAGTTCTTTTTTCACATTATGATATAGTTTAAGTGCAATTTTGCTTTTACATTTGTTGAGAATTTGTGGCTCTCAACACTTTCAATTCAATTAAAATCATTTATTTCCATATCCCAACATCAATTCAAACACTGTGTTTAAAAAAAAGAGTCAATGGGCAATAAAAAACATTATAAAACTACGATATTTCATTCAAACGATTAAGAAGATAAAAAACAGAACAAGTATTATACATAATTCAGTACGAAAAGGGACTTTAAAGAGTACAAGGGCATCTGAGACCATAGCGTACGCAGGATTTTTTTCAAAGGGGGGGGGGTTAACATTTTTAAATCGGGCCAGCGGGTAAATCATTCCAGAAGCATACACCTCTGTATGACACAGAAAATGAACCTTTTGTTGTCCTTACTTTAGGCACAGTTAGCTTTTTATTTTCTCTTTGCCTTGTCTCATATCTGTGCTCTACGAAAGAGCAGTACTGAATAAGGGACTGTGGCAATCTATTATTCAACAATTGATGCATAAAAACACAAATAGATAGTTTATGTAGTTGATACACATTCAATAACCTTAACTCCTGGAATATTGGTTGTGAATGAGCCCGGAAGGAACTAAATGTTAAATTGACTTTGACTATCATGCCACTTTTACTTGCCTTTGCAAAAGCTTTCTCGCATTTGCCCGGGCTATGTCTTTTAAAAATCCTTGTTTATATTTTACAATACCCATGAGGCTAGCATAATCCATTTTCACGATTTGGGTTACTTTTTCATGAAACATTAAATATTTACCAACAATCGAACCTCCTACAGGTGCTAGTGCACTTTGATTTCCTTTGTTTTTAATAAGCCAGTTTCGTAATGTAACCAAATTTAATGCATACGTCTTTGTGAAGTGCCTCAATACAAATTATTTCATTCACCTGATAAGAATAATAGTATTTCAATAGTCAGAATGCAACTGCATATATTAAGTGTTGCTAGGTAGGTCAAGCCATAATGTTTGTCCAACCTGGCAACAACTTAATATATGCAGTTGCATTCTGACTATTGAAATACTATTATTCTTATCAGGTGAATGAAATAATTTGTATTGAGGCACTTCACAAAGACGTATGCATTAAATTTGGTTACATTACGAAACTGGCTTATTGTACATGATCACAACCAGAGTTGTAACACGAGCCCCACCCTGACTGAGCTGACAGTGGATCATGACACACTAAAAGGATGGCAGGGTTGTTGTTCGATGTTTGACAATGTGAAGAGGGTCACTATACAGGTATGGAGCACGATCAACTGTAACGTCATCCAGAGGATCCATCTACCAGGAGCAACAGAACTCACCTTTCAACCACAAAAGTATGCAGGTCGACCGGCTGGTTTCCACAAGGAGCCCACTTCACTATCCAATGTCCTGCTGAATATCTCCCCTCAGCTTGTCAAGGTGACATTCAGCAAACTGAATATTGGCAACAGTAAGATGGAACTAATCTTACAAGCTTTCAGATCACCTCACCACCTCAAACATCTGAAAATCATCAGGTGAGACATTATGTCATTTATTAACAAAGCACTTTGATATGTTTCATTTCTTTTACCCCCTCTCTCTCTCTTTCTCTTTCTCTCTCTTTCTCTCTCTTTCTCTCTCTCTCTCTCTCTCTCTCGTTCTCTCTCCCATTTTTTCCCCTATCCATAATACACTCAGTCCCCCCCGAAAAAGTGTACACTATTTATATTAAGAATTAAAAAATTAAAAAATTGAATAGTACTTATCTTTCATATCTCAAAATAAACATAAATTAATCCTTTTTAAGATGATTTGCAATTGGTTTTATACCATTCGCCCCATGAGTGAGATTAGTCATTTAACAATAGTCTATCATGAAAGAAAATCGTAAAATTGGGGCATTTGGTCTTTTAAATTATTAATGAGCATTTCCATCTTGTAGAATCAAATTAAAACAATACGAAAATCACGAGGAGCACGAAAGGAGAAATGCTGTATTACGTCTATTTTGATACTGGTAGATTCATACGATGCGGGTCAGATGAGGGCGTGGATGATGTCATTATCGCTTGCAATAAAGATCAGGTCATGGAGGTGGAGGTGGAGCATGGCAAACCGCGTGGGTAAGTCATTCAAACTCTTACTTCCAGGCTTGCAATGCTCTCTAAGGTACTTCATGTCCCATTTGCAGGTCAACAAAATCAAAAGGTTGAATTTAATACTTATTAAGAACTTCCCTCAAAAAGAAAAGGTTTGAAAATGGATTTTTTTTTTGTGGGATAAGAACGACTATTTGTTGTCGAAACGACATAAGTGATTGCAATCACCTAAGTAATAGTCTGATTTCCAGACCCTGGTTGTAGAAGTATCCTTTCACATTAACAAAATGCTATAATAGACATACAGTGTTAGTTACTATGTTTAATTGTTTATCTCTGTTTTCATCGAGAATGAAAAGAACTGTCATTATGTACCACGTCTCATATACAAATGACCTCAGAGAGAGCCCTCTGTATTCAGCCTAAATTTGTTTAAATAACCTACTGGCAAACATCCGATTCGAAGATAGCCTGGCAATATTCGCAGGTCTTATATCCCTTACACCCCCTCCATTGTTTCTGTATCCAAGCAATTTTTAATTAATCTTGTTTGTTTTCATCTTATTATGTTATGATAATTTTGGTGATTTCTTTTGGATATAATTGTTGTATTCGTACTTGTTGTGTTCAATTGTTGTTCACGGCCTTGCTGAAAAGCAGCTTCTAGCTGATATCAGGCTTCTTAACCGTGATTAAATAAATGGAATACAAAAAAAATACACAAAATAGTCTCATATCAATTAATCTGTGCAAAATGTAACAAAGAGTTGACAAATGGCGTGCATATAAATTAATATTCCTTTGGAAGTGTGTAATCATGATTGTTCAAGGGTGCCTATTAAATAATTGGCTTAGGTTACTGGATTAGCGAAGTGATAAACTGAAGGTATGTATACTATTTTTCATATTACATGTTGGCTTATTTCTTTAAATTATTCGCGCATGTTGGTATTAAGACGTTTTCTACGTATTAATTAACTGATTAACAGATTTTGCCCGGTAACATGTTGTAAAAGAAAATAAATTTGATTTGTTATTAGTAAAAATGGTTTTGTTTGACGTAAAGCTGTGTGATATTCAATCTCGCTTCTTTGCCCTCCCTTTATTGCTCTATGTGATTATGTTGTAATGTAGCGCTGTTTGTATGTTGAAGCACATGCACATTTACACTTCTCTCTCTCTCTCTCTCTCTCTCTCTCTCTTTCTCTCTCTCTCCATCACTTTAGATATTAACTTTATTAGTAATCATATAGATGGCACCACACTCGATCTGACGAATCAGACGGAGCAGACAATCTTTGCATTCGGAACAGGAAATGTGGGCTGAAATGAAAAGTGCCTCAAACACATCTTCAGACTTTTCTTTGGCCATTTTCATGCAATCGACTTTAATATTCATCCACTGAATCCAGTTGACATTCATATGATTTAGACGTATGTGTAATATATGCTTTACATCGGTATTGCAGCTCTTGTTAATTTGTTTAAGAAATTGTGATTTGGACTTCCCTTCAAAATGTCACTCTCAGTGTTCATTCATTTAATATACACAGGCAATATACTTTAAAGGGTGTTAGGCCTACGTGGATTAACACGGTGAACATCTCAAAACTTGTCAAAGGGCCAAAATGTTGTAAAATATCATTGTTATTGTTTTTTTTAATACAGTAATATTTTTTTTCGAATTTGAATTGTTCAACTGGCAGTGCTTTACACACCATATTTGCTATGTAGGTTTCCTACAAGTGGAAGAGTTTTAGGGTAAACCTTTTGAAGTTGTATTCACAGATAGGAAATGAAGGAATGTATCTAGTCATATATTAAGGCATATATCGCCCTTCCAAAAAGGCCAAATGAAGACCACTTTTAATTCACAAATAGAATACTGTATAGTTGTTTTATCAAATATACCTTGTGTACGAACTTTTGCATGTATCACATAAACGGTTTCTTATGATTTATGATTTTCATTTTGAAAGGGAAAACAATCTTGTCTGATATATTTGAGTTGGTAATTTTGTCTGTTGATAATTTGTAAATAACGTAGCCACATTGCATGTGCCCATACTTAGGAGGGTCTTTGCAACGCAAGTTATACATTACTGACTAACTATAAATTAAGGCTGTATAAATGCATAATAATTTTAAATATCCAATCAGCTGTTTTTCTACAAGTTCATCTAGTGATTGTACACTATTACTTGTAATGCAAGAACATTATTAAGAGTAAATCATGTGGCATTCAGCTTAATATATTTGATATATTTCTGTATTTATGGAACTAATTGTTTATTGTATAGGGCACTGAGACATTACCGCATTTTGCGAAAATATTCCAACGCACAATTTATCACTATAGTAGTAGTAGTAGCTGATTTTGTTGTTATTGTTGTGGTCTTGTTAACGATGTTGTTGTTGTGGCGGTATTACTATAAGTATTTGTATTGATTGACATGATTATCAATATCAAGTATTGCATTCGGTATCAGCAAAATATTGTTGAAACGCCAAATATTGTTTACTGAAACTTGAGTATTTTGTATATATTGATTCGATTATAAAGAATGGCGTACGTCGTTACTTTACAATGTAGGTCTATTTTGTTGCACGCATGACTAACTAACTATATACATTAGAAACCATTATCTTGAATTTAAACGTGATGAATTTTATTCATCCTCATTTATGTATTGTAACTTTAAGTGACAAGAATGTTTGCATGACAATTTGAACGTAAATAATATAATGTGCCTTAAATTTGTCTACTTTATGTTTCTATCTGTTAGTTTATTGCGTATGTTCCAATTTATATGTAGTTTGGTGTATTTTAATGAGCATGGCTATTTTGTTGTTGTAATTAGTTTTCGGAATACAATTATTATGCATGACCATATACAGCGCAAAGGGACTTAACCGGCAGTATAATGCGCTGTATAAATAGATCCTTATTGTTATGTTGTTTAATGAAACCCCTTCTGATCCGAGAAATATACTATTTTGAACTTTGTATTAGTCGGACGTTTGTCCACCTTATTGAAATGAAATTAATTATACAACTGTTTATATTTCAATAAATGTTACTCCAGTCTCTAATTCAGATATATAGGCCTATAACCCTCTTCTCTATAGCTGTCTCTTTCTCTCTCCTCATTGTCGAGTTTTATCAATCATGGATCAGCGCAATTAACATTCTTTTTTTAAATTTACGAAAAAAATTGCTTCTTTTTCCATCATCATCATAGAGGTGTCGTAGTCGAGTGGTTTCATCACTTGACATGAAATGTAAACATCTTATGTTCGAGGCCCTGCACGACACTCATATCAATAAGCAAGGCATTTAATCTACATTACTCCTCCCCGCCCAAGTGTTTTAAAATGGGTACCCGGTGAGGATGCGATAGTCAATGTGATTGGAATAGCATATGTGTATGCACGTGGACAGTCGTCGTGCCGACTCGTGTTATATGCTCTGTAGCTCGTGGTATATACCCCTGTATCCCACTGACTGTAGGCCACTGTCTTATTCATTATCCCCATCGATCTTAAATCGATTGTTGTGGTATCCCTACATGTAATCTCTACAAGTTTTTGTTTGCATTCCTGATTATTTTAGTTTAATTTGTTTTTGCTCACTACTCTGTTGTTTGTTGTTACTGGATTTCTTTTCTTTATAAAGTAGACTAACATGAATGTTGTTGGATGCGATCAGGTAAACGACTCAAGTCTGCAAAGTGTAGAACATACCGCTATCTGAAATCCTTCATTTCCTTTTCTATATAAGGTCCTTTGAAAACTCATCTTGAATAACGATAATAATTGGTTAAACATGTATAACTGCAATAATTGCACATATGAAGTTTGTTCATCTTTGTATATAAGTCTTGTACGTACAACTGACATTGTAATCTAATGCGAAAACTGATATTCCATCTTCTATAATGTTGTATGTTTTGCAGTTTACCTTTTTTTTAATGGAATATGCGAATATCAACCATTTCGAAAACCATCACATACCCTGTCTACATATATAATATTTTAAATAGCACTTTTCATGAATGGTGCTTATAGCACTACTTACTAATTAAGTTTCACTTTCTTTTCTTTCTTACTTTCCTGGTACTTTGGTATAACATTATCTTTTCTTTAATTGTCTTCTGTTGCACTTACATGTCAATATACAACAATTTAAAAGTGAGAATTTATAACCTTTTTGTTTAATACCTTTATCATTTCATGATATTCTCTCTTTCTTCGTACAATCATCCCTACTCCTCTGTTCTTTACCTCGCATTAGCTCTCTTTTCCTTTCTCTCTATATTGTTCTCCTTCCTCTGACTCATTTCCTTCTCTCCTAACCTTGATCTACTGTCATTCTTCCCCTTTCATACTTTTTCCCCTTTTACTCTTTCTTAGTGCTCATGCTATGTGTTATTTTACATTTTAATGTCTAAGATGTCAACGACTGTGTATATATTTATCACTTATATATTCCGATTATTCCTGTTTTTGTGTTTACATATGCAAAAAAGATCCCATGTAACATTTCAATGGTTTTACCTTGGAAAAATACAAATGGAACCAAATTGAATCAAATTGAATCGTATTAAATCGAAATTAATATACACTGCATTCATATAAAAGTAAAAATGTGATGGTAAATATTAATGTGACGATATGTAAAATTAATGGAGGATTTGATTTCTACCATTCATTTTTGTATGACATAGTAAACCTCTTCCTATTTGCATATAATATTATTTCTTTTATTATATTTACCAAGTATTGATAATGAGATAACTGTATGAGTGTTCTCGTGAATTCATTGACTCACATTGTAAGATATTATGTTTTGAGTTTTAATGATACTTCTGTTTAATGTCTCATTTCCTATCGATTATGAGTGTATATGATTTTTGATACTTTGTACAGTTATCATATTCGAATATGATACTGTGATAGTAATTAGTATGTTCCCTTCAATTGTATGCTGGGAGGGATCTTGAATGCAACTACCCTATATTTCTTTTAAATGCTTTCAAGTCTCAAGGGTTGCTCGCATCTATCCTGGGTAATGTTTTCACAACCATAATAAAGAATGTGCGGTGTGTCAAGATTTGGTTACAACATATTATGACATATTATGACAGAATGGGCACTTTTCATGTATATGAACAGTACAATAAAATCTTAATCTGAAACAACTCGATGATTATCAAGGTAATCATAATTTAATTCTTTTATTTTCAAAGAGTGTCTTGTATATTGTGTATAAGTATGTATATGGAAAGGGGAATTCCGAATGCTGCATTTATCAAAATAGGATTGAACAAAAATTAATGTACCTAATAGTAGAAAGAAATTGCAGATGAGGAAGGTGATGATGATCATCATGATGATTAATATTATTATTATTAGTAGTAGTAGTAGTATTACAATAATTATTTATTCAGCATAAACAAAATCAAGAAAAAAGTGAACAGCGGAGCTAACCAAATGTTTAAAGAGTCACGTGGATGCCAGGAAAGAAAAACGATTAATAATAACTACCTGTCGTCTGTTCTAGATTCAACGGACAATATTAGTTGTAAGTATAATTTAAACGGATTAAAAACATTGGTGTTAACCTTAACAATTAGAAAAGAAAGGAGTGAGTTAACGAGCCTTGTTTTCATGCATAGGCATATTGCTCTAGATAAAATAAAAGAAGTGAATTCAGGGGCGGATCTAGCTTTTTGCTAAGGGGGGGGTTTGACCAAAATAATGACGATGCGGAGCATCGTCCACGAGCCGCGAAGCGGCGAGCCGATTTTTTGGGGGGTGTTTATTTGAACCCCGTAAGTGATGTTTTCCTGGCATCTATTAACACAATGGAGACCATAAAAAGCAGTGCATGATAACGTCTTTTTAAATCAAGTAACAGTTTAATACATAGTTATATCCAGAGTTATCATGTGTTTGGTTAAGTTACCAGATGAGTTGAATATCTTCTCACAATATTTGCACTTGAAAGGGTTTCTCTCCAGCGTGCGTTCTTTTTTCTTTCTTTTTTTCTTTCTTTTTTTTTTTTTTTCCTTTTTTTTTTTTTTTTTTTTTGGGCCGCCCAAGGGGAGGGGGGGGGGGGGGGGGTTGCAACCCCCCAACCCCCCCCCCCTGGATCCGCCACTGAATACATGCACATGTACATGTTAATCAAGAGGGCGCTGTGCAAGTGGTTACAAATTAACATATTGTAACGATCCGCTCAACGGTCGTGACGTAACAAAGAGGCCTTAATTAAATGATTGTTGTTTTCACCGACGCACGATATATACCGTGTTTACACATTGTTCCGCATCGAGGGTTGAAGCCGGCTTGAAGCCGCGAGGGGATTGAACCCGGGTTGAAGCCTGCAGTTTTATGTGTGTAAACGGGATCCCAGTGAGGATTGAGGCCGGGTTGAAGCCGCCCCTTGAATCCACCAGAATTGCAGGTCTCAACCCACCTCGCGGCTGATATGCACTAACCGTGTTTACACAGTGATCCGCCTCGAGGATTGAAGCCGGGTTGAAGCCGCGAGGGGGTTGAAGCCTCTAAAGCGCGCAAATGTGATCGTGTTTACACAGCAGAAAAAAAAAGCGGCTTCACCCCTCGAGACGGATCACAATGACGTCACAATGCGAGGAATTTGACCTACGTCAGCTTCAGCTGGGGGTCCAGTAACATATACGCGCGGCCTATTTATACTTTTAAGGTTGCGCTTAAAGGAAAGCTATGCGCGCATATCAGTACTACCATTTTCATTGGCTGCTCACGTCCGCCCACATGGCTTCAACCCAGGCCCCCCAAGCTCCGCCATTTTGTCCGGATCCATTAGAAGCCAAAATATTCCCCCTTGCATAATTCATGAGCCTTATGAATTATGCATTCTGTAGGATGCTCCCCACGAAAAGTGTACTGGAATGATGTTCACTACATGGTAAAAGACAATACGCGTATCAGCGTAATTAGAGAGGTCAAATAATCTACTGTACGGAATTATGGGTAATTTATTCATCACGCTGCGCGCTAGCAACGCAAGTGATTCAGCGAATCAGTGTGGACTATTCTGATGCGATCACCGTTAGGTGAAATACGCGCTCGAACGTGTATTATCGATCACCAGTAAAACAGCTGGTGTACCCAGGATGCATCTGGGAAGTGGACCTTAAAGTTCCTCTCGTTGTTGTGTTGTTGTTGTTTTTTAATATGGGGGAGTGGCCTTAACTTCATTGAATAAGAAATACTGATATTCTTAATGTCTCGATCTTATTCCCTTTTTAGTCTATCAATAACTGGGTCTGTTTTTGTTTTATTAAATCAAACAT